AAATGACCAAATTTGGAGAGAACAAGGGGTATAATAACATGAGCTGACGAAACAAAGACTTTGGAATGATTTGGAATGCTGTGACTGTCTTCCCGGCTTTATTTCTTTGTTAAATAAAGTCTTATTTTGACATCTGGAACTCTGCTCCTCCACTTCATTGGCTGCATCCAAGAAAAATCCACAACAGATTGGCGTCACGAACAGGATTGGACTGGAGCCCAACGTCTGTGAGGGGTACCTGGACTGCCATGCAAACAGATCTCTAAAAGGGGCGCCCCGAAAAAACGAGGTAGGCAATATTTTGCTTAAATTGGAAATAAGACTGTTTGTGTGGTTGACTGGGGTCACACCTGTGATGGTAATCTGAGACAGGGCTTCACCAATAAATGAATCTAAGATTTGAACTAAATTAAATAAAGTCTTATTTTGACATCTGGAACTCTGCTCCTCCACTTCATTGGCCGCACCCAAGAAAAATCCACAACACTCTCCCCTAGTGATAGAACAAACTCAGAAAGGCTCCATAAAGTTGCTAAGTATAATCTAGTTCTGTTCATTGCCTGATTCTTCCGTGTCTTGATCCCAGCCTGTTTGCCTCCTCCTGTCTGTTTTCTGCCCTGCCCTATTTGGATATTGTTTACACCTCGCTTGGACTATTGTCTTGGATTACCCGTTTGCTTCACCCTCAGGATATTGTTAGCCGCCGATCGACCACGCCCTTTTTGGATTACTCTTTTGTCTTGCCCTCAATATGCCTACTTGCTATTGTTTGACCCATGCCTGGTATGACCACACCTCTGTCTAATAAAAGCCTGCAGATGGATCCGCACGTCTCGTTCGTCCCGTTACACCACCGGGGTGGCGATTGCGCTGATGGCTTGGGCCCGTCATTGCTGCTTGCAGCTATATTTTTCTTTACTCTACTAAAGAGTGTTATTTAGACTTTTTGAATGTTCCATCAGTATGCTTGAGTTATTTTGATGTGCTAAAAGAACAACAGTAAATACATGAAATATGTGTTTGTAGCTGAGTGTGAAACAAGTAGTGTTATTTTAGAGACCCTACATGCTCGCTTCTAAGAAAAATGACTTGCATTTGATACATAGACATGCATGGGTAATAGTTAGACACCTTAAATATGCAGTATGATTGGACTAGATAGAAGTATCTGAATTTGATTAGGATATAAATATTGAGTAAAGGTATTTCCTCTGTCACATTCTGCAGCCAACCTGTGTGACTGTCGACCATTTCTTGCAAGAAATAAATTCTCAAAAGACTCGTCTCATACCTTCCTTGAAATACAAAATTGCCACGACCGCTTTTTCAACTGCTGTGTGAGTATCATAGGTCCGATTGCTTAGAAAAGATAGAGCAGACCAGTGGTGTAGTCGGGGCCATACGCAAGTATACGCCGTATGCTTACTTTTTTCCCCGGGCTGTTTGTGTATTACAACTTCTAAGGATCAGTATTTGCGTATACCCTCGGTATACCCACTTGTTTTGTTGCTTTGCAAGTTCATAATCTACTATGTAGCTTCTCTTTTAATGGTGTCCCACAGTTGTGTGAAACTTGTGATTCTTTGGTGTAATTGGTGCATTGTCACTTCTGTCATTCTACCTTTTCCCACCCATCATCGACTAAGTGCGCATGTCCGCTGCAGTGAGAGACCTCCGCTCAAATTACAGTGAACTGCAAAAATAAAATGCTCCAAAAAGTGTGAAGCGGCGCTACACAACTCATCCGCTTGCTGCATGCAAAAGCAGAGCGGATCAGTCTCCCGCACAGCGGTGCGCCAAAATGTAAAGTGATAAACAGCACAAATCGCTTCATCCATTCAGATGTGACCGTATTATTGTTATAGTCGTGTGATATATGAGAATATTAAAAGGTTCTGTAATGATGCTGGCTGAAAACAGCCACAACAATGTAAACTGCATGAAGAGGTAAACTGTAAAACACCAATACATAGGCTTGTCAATTCAGCACCATATAGCCTAATTTACCATGGTTTTACTTCTTGTGACCACCATCTTATAATTAGTAAGCAAGAACTTCTATTAAAATAAATTAGAACTAAACATCTAAAGAGAGAAGTAAAATGTTGATTCAGTAAGGGCCCGATTAAAGATAAATATCAGTGTCTTATATGAATTAGGTGTGTATTATTTACAAATATTAAAGTTCTTAAAGGGATACTTCACCCAAAAATGAAAATTACCATTTACTCAACATGTCATTCCAAACCTGTATGAATTTCTTTCTACTGTGGAACATAAAAAAAGATGATAATTTGAGAAATTCAAGACATTTTTGTCCACAGTAGAAATCAAGTGTATAAGCAAAATGGTTTGGTAACATCCTACAAAATATCTTCTTTTGTGTTCCACAGAAGAAAGTAAGTCATACAGGTTTGCAATCACAGGGTGAGGAAAGGATGACAGGATCTTAGAAGTAGGCCTAAATTTTCTGCATTCTAGCTCAAAATCATTGCTTTACTGTCAAGTACAATTCTATCTGACAAAAATGCATTTGCTTTGAATTCAGTAATATCTATCATTGTTTGTTTCTGTCCAGTTTTATTTAATAATTGATTTACTCCAATTGAAGGCCCTGTAACCCAGCAAAACATTCATGGGGGAACTCGTGGGCCGGATACTTCAAGGGCCGAATTTTAACCCCAGTGCAGCCCTGCCTACATGCTGCAAAATCCACTTGCAGTATAATTCCCTTCCTAAATAATACAAGCAGTGTATAAATGCATAAAATAAAACATTAAATTCAGATGTAGGCTATCCGAGAAGCACTTTTCACAATGAATATAATTCCAAAGAAACATGTTGAAATGATAAACCTGGCTGATTGACAAACCTGGGCTGGAACAACCTGGAAGTCATGCTGTAGACTACAATTTTAGAGTGCACTGTATTGATATTACTAAATAAATTACTAATAAACCAACAATAAAACTTTTTTTTTTTTTTGGTGGTGGTGGGACAGGGGGTTGGGGAGCGTAAACCACAGTAATAGTAAACCACTTTTTTCTTAAGGACTACACCACTGGAGCAGACCTCTCCTGAGCCAGTCGATTTGACTCCTCATTCATGGGTCTACAACAAATGGTGTGGGAGGAGTTACACACTAAAGTTGTGTAAAAGAAGAAATATGCGATAGAACAATATTGATGTTTTGCCTTATAGGCAAGCACCACTAATAAGTTTAAATAGCCAACTTACTGAAATGCTTTCTCAAGCCAACTTAAGCTTAAATAGTAGATCAGCGAGTTGGCTTTCTCAAGCCAACTTAACTACAGTGTGCATGTGAAAATAGTATGAAATAGGCTACTCAATTAAAAAGTAATTGTAGTCCGTTAATGATTCCAAATTACATGACAAATTACACATTTTAGGTAATATAAATCTACTACAAAGACTACTTTGATTACTTTTGACCCAACTCATTTATCACATTGATATAAATAGGATAATCTTGTACCATACGGACATCAAAAAAAAAGAAAAGGAAAAAAAAAAAATTCCATTCATTCTTATTAACAAGAAGTCGTCAAGTTACATTAAGGATTCTTAAACTGGGGTTCATGAAGGAACTGCAGGTACATGAATTCAATGAAAAGCGTATCATTAATTCATTAGCAAATAATTAATAAAAATATCAAATTAAAATATATATTTTAACAATCAAAATAAAACACTTACTAAAAAAAAATAAACATTTCATTTGAGTACCTGCTGTCACAGTGTGTGGAGGCAAGCAGGACGACAAGGATTCCAATAATGACTTTTAATGAAGACACAACAAGGCAGATTCTCTCTCTCACTCTCACACACTCACTCACACACACACACACACACACACACACACACACACACACACACACACACACACACACACACACACACACACACACACACACAGAGGACAGGAACTGATATAGGGTGGATAACGAGGGGCAGACAGGTGAGCACAATGAGGTGATAACTAATGATAGTACGGGCTAAACCAACAAAAGGGGAAGAAACCACAATAAACAGTCCACAGGGGTGTTACAGAAGTATACTTAAGTACAATTTAGTTCACTTAAGTGTAAAGTATATTTCTGAGAAATACATAAAATATATTTCTGAGAAGTACATTAAAGGTAGACTGAAAGTATGCTTTTTTAATTTTAGTTAAAAGTAGTATACTAATAGCACAATTTAATAAACGTTTTTTTTCTCAAGGGACTGCACTTTTCCATCCTAAAAATATATCTAAACTACAACATATACTCTCTATAACACTGCATTGGCTGACTAGTAAAATTGTAGAAATTTTATAATCCAGCTGGTTACTTTTAAAACCATTAAAGGGTTAGCTTCTTATTAATGGGCAGCTCCTTTTTATCTCTGTGATGCTGATTCTGATTCTCAAGCAATTTTTTGTATTGTGTATTGATAACGTTTATTGTATAAAGTTCTATAGAAATAAAAGGTGACTTGACTCAAAGTATATTTACACAAGCAAACATTTTCATATGTGCAGAGACACAGGACTTCAATAATTAATATCCACACAGTTAATATTCATAATAAAAAAAAAATTTTGTAAAGAAATTCACTTATTTCTGGAAGTATCAATATACCACATTTATCTACCACTTTGTTGCAAATTATTTACTATTTAAACTATTTAAATAAACTATTACAGAGATACACATTTTAGTTTTTTTGGTTACAAATCTGGAATCCAACTTTTTTAAAGGAGTATTTTGACAAAATTAGACATTGTCTATAGAGGACAAATCACATATACTGATATACAGAACATTTTCAGGCTTTTGAAACACTTGATTTACTTTCAATCACTTTATTTTAAACTTACTTAACTCCTCTCTCTACATGTTTTCTGAAATTTGGTGGATTTCAGAATCACTAAACTGAAAATAAGAAACTCATTTCAAACTGTGAATCATAGACCAGGCAGAAACGTTTCTGTTTAATTAAATGTATTTTTCCAAAGTCTCAACAGCTTCATGTTTTGAGTATGTTCTCCAGTTGTCTGGGATCTTACCATGACTATCAAATGTTTTATTGTAGTATTTTTCCAGATCTTTCTGGAATCTGCACACAAACCACTTCCAGTAGGGCAGTTCAGAGAGGTCAGGTGTGATGCTCCAGTCTTTATATTTCCCTCCTGCTGTTCTGTATTCTCTCCAAGGAAATTTGTCATTTGAGGCACCAGCATAAAAAAAATGATCACTTGCTACGCCTGATGTGCATATAGTAATAGCCAAGTTTGTTGTTCCTCTGTAATACCACCCATTCAGTCCAATATTACGATGGATAGCAACACTGTGATCGCCATCATGGTTTTCTATGGTGTTGGTGCAGATGGCTTTACAGAACGGACACTGAACCCAACAGCACTGACAAAGGTGATCAATCAGAAGCTCATCTGGTCTGAATTTATAGTCCAGCTTTACTGGAAATGTCTCTGTGTTGAATCTACTGCTGATATCAGAAATGATATCAGCAAGTTCTTGTCTTATCACATCTTCTAGGAGGTTGAAATCATCAACATCGTCATGTTTGACTCCACTGAGGTCTTTTTCAGAGAAGATCAGCTCTTCGGAGAGATGCTGTGTGAAACTCTTCAACCACAAGCCAGCATCTCCTCTCTTCACTTGAACATGTTCAGTAGATTCATGAGCTGCTTTCATGATCTTCTGCTGCAGGAGTTCAATGTTCTCCTCCATCTTGGGTAAAACACTGACACTGAACTGATCAGTGATGTACTGACTGACTTCATCTCTGATGAAACTCTTGAAGTGATCTCTGGGAGTTTTAATGTAGTTCATGTATTTGTCAAAATCCTCCTCTTCTGCCAGTGTCTTCAGGATGTGTTTTTCAAGATTTGATCTGCTTCTATTCAGAGATTCACAGTTTGATCTCATTTCATCTGTCAGATCTCTGGCGGTGTTCTTGTAGACACTCTGCTCAATGGGATCTTTAAGTTTCTGACAGATGATCTCACCAAAAATAGCAGCTGATGTTGCTCCATGACAGTATTTCTGGAAAATACTATAGTACTCATCTTTTTTCTTGTCACTGAGGATTTCTTTCATGTTCATTGTGTCAATGTCTCTGATTGCTGGAGTGTCACTGATGATCTTCATGTTCATTTTCCAAAACAAATCAAACTCCTTCTTCAGTGTTTCTTCATCGTTTGCTCTGTCTTTGAGCTTTAAGGCAAGTTCTTTGCTCTTTTCATAGAGAGTGTTTTCATGATGTGTCACCTGATCCTGTTTTTTCTTAAGGACTTTTTGATGAAGAATCTCATTCATTTTTTTCTTTGTTTCTCTCACAATGTTTTTCTCAAGCTCTTTGATTTTGGTTTCAAAGGATGTTTTCCACTGAATCAGTATTTCTGCATATGTGTCTTTCTCAAAGAATTCAGACATTGATTCTTCCACTTCTTCACTTGTCTTCTTCAGTTTTCTTTGAAGATCAGTTTCCTCAACTTCATGAATTGCTTCATTTTCTATTTTGTTGTGTAGTTTATTCTCAATTTTCAGCATGGCATTTTGAAGACTCCAGGACCACTTGCTGTATTCATTCTCCAGTTTCCTGTAGACTGAAATCTCCAGAGAGTTTCTGAAGCTGAAGACAAATTGTTCATTCAGTAAACCCTCCCAGAGATCTTTAATATGAATTTTGAAGTCTTTCAGCAGCATTCTTTGTGATTTTGAGGCATGAGACTTAATAAATGTCTTCAGTTCTTGAATGTTCTCACAGTAGTTTGGGTTTGGCGGTGCCATGGGTGGGTTTCCCTCCCAGAGCTGAGAAAAATACTTCACATCTTTCTGAACATCAAATTTAATGACATCACTGAAACGTTCTGCATCACAGCCTTCCTCTTTAGCAGCGAGTTTTGTCATCTCATCTAATTTCTCCAGCAGTTGTCGTCTTGCCTCCATGGTTTTTTCTCTAGCTGCGACATCTGAAACGTTCTGATGCACAAACACACAGCTGGGATTCAGTCTGACCTTCTTCATCCTCATGAAGGCCTGAACAACAATCTGAAGAATGTCCTGCATCTCAGCTGTGTTTTCTCCAAAAATGTTGATCAGTGTTAGATTTGCAAGACCAATAACAAATGTGGCAAATTCATTGTCATGATGTCTTGTTGATCTTCCAGCCAGTTCTAGAGAACGAAGACCCTCAGTGTCAACAACCAGAATATAGTCAAAGTTCATCTGTGTTTTCATCTCATCTGAGACTCTGACCAGCTGCATGAAAGCTCCTCTGGTGCACCTGCCAGCACTGACGGCAAACTGGAGCCCAAACATGGCGTTCAGCATGGTGGATTTCCCAGAGCTCTGAAGCCCTAAAACTGACAGCACAAAGACTCTCTGGTCTCCCAGTTTCTGGATGAGTTGATCTAGAACAGCAGAGATCCAGATCACAGGAACATGAGCAGCGTCTCCATCCATCAGCTCCAGTGGAGATCCAGAGATCATCATCTCTGCTGCAAGACTCGGGAGAGAAGAGAAATTTTTCAGGTCTTTCTTGTTCTTCTTCACTGATGAACATGATTCATAGATTTGTCCGATCTCCCTCATGATGTGCTCCAAACCAAAGGTTGCAGCCTGAAGTTCCTCAGATATTGTCTCAAGTTCAGTTTGTTCCGTTTCAAGTTGTTCTGACTTATCATGATTCTCTTTCAGTTGTAAGACTGTTGACCACTTTTCATGATACTTGTGGTGTAGAGCTGAAAGATCAGCTGATGTATGCTCATCCAGGAGAAATCTGAGCCATTTGAGAAAAAACATAATCTCAAGTTTATCATATGAGCACATTTGTTCAATTAAGCACTTGATAAAATCACTGATATCAAATTCATGCTGCTGTTTGCGGATTTTATTCATTTGTGTTTTTTTTCTACTTATTTCCATTTCAATCGTTTCTCCTTGAGGTCGATGTAGTTCTTTGTTCTTCTGACTCCACTGATGCCACAGTTTCCCCTGATGAGGCAGAAATGATTCTTTGATTTTTCTCAGCTCTTTCGTCTTTAGCAAACTGATCATCTGATGTGCTGCTTCTCTTCCTCTCCTGCAGTCATCATCCTCTTCCTCATCTACTCTGATGTCTGAGTGTTTGGACACATCTTCAAGTCTGAAAGTGGAAGACGATTCTAAGAGACAAGCATTTATAGCTTTTCTGAGTTCTTCAGATACATCTGACTGACTTCTGCATTTCAGACCAATGTTGAATTTCCCTTTCTTGGTCTTAATTACAGAAGAATCATTCTCATCCAAAAGACAAATGAGTGGCTTTCTGTCCCTGTAGAGTTTTTGGATCTTTGCTGCATGTTTGTCATTCCTGTCCAGTCGTGGTAGAAGAACAACATTGACTGAGGCCATTTCAGTGAGGATCTGCAGCTGTTTCTCATGTTTTCCTGCATCGCCGTGTAGATTACAGAACGCAACACAGTCGGTGAATTTGTCATCATATGATTCAGAAGGGCAGAACCAGGCGATCTCCACCACTCCATCCATCAACTCTCTGGTTCTGCTGCTGCCTGGGCAGTTCCTGTGGAAGAACGTGTTGTGTTTCTCATTGATCAGACTGCTCATCAGCTGAGACTTGGATAAAGACACAGAGCCAAACCTGAAGAAAAACACCATTGGAGTTTCTGCCTTGTAGATCGGCTGGGTTTGACTGATGATTTCATGGTTGTTTCTCATCTTCCAGCTCTTGTTAATTTGTCTGAATGTCCAGAGAGGAAACTCAATCTGTTGTGTGAATGGATCAGGAACAAGCAGAGGCAGAGCGTACTGACACTGGGACAGTTTAGTCACCATCAGCTGCTTCAAGAAACCATCAGCACAATGAAACACTGCCATCTGAACATCCATTGGGTGAACAGGGTCAGACTGATTTGATGCTTTGTCTGACGGAGAGAGGTTTCCGAAAACATCATCAAAAATATCACACTCTTCTTCAGAGAAGTCGTTGTCTGTTTGTTGTGTATGATCCTGTTTGTTGGTCTCTTTAGTTTTAATGTATCGTGCTCTGTAGTTCATCATCAGTAGTTTTTGTATGAAAGTCTGAATCAGCTCCTCCTCAGAATAACAGAATAAAAACTGTAATGAATGTTCAGTTATCTGAAGAACATCTGCAGCTCCGAGTTTATTGAGGTGTTTGCCTTCAACCCTTCAACAGTGGAATATATTATTCATTTTAAGTCTTTATCCTTTTGTTGGTGTTAATCTGAACTGATTCCTGCTGTTCCAATGTCCTTTATTTTCCCTGATGAAAAATAAAGATTGTTTTCAGCTGTTACAGTCTACATAAATGAGATATGTAGTTAATTTTTTCCAGATGTCCCTAGTTACAATAGAGATGCATAATAAACACTGTCACAAAGTTGCCATTCTTACCCTGTTTTGTTAACTCAAAACTGAAAAAAAAGGAATAGTTCCTCTAAGTTTTTACAGTGCATTATATGATTTTTTAGGGAGCCAAAGTTCAATACACTGGGCAATAATACAGCTCTAGAAATGGCCAACTCCTAGACTTACAGATTCACACCAAAGTTGATAACTATAAAAATAACTATAAGGAAAGCGTAACCTCGGTTCCCTGCGAGCAAACGAGCGTTGCGTCACTTGACACTATGGTGAAACTCCTGTTTACTCTGTTACTGAAGCCTGATTTGTTCACTTTTGTGTAGTTGCACAAACCAATGGCGCTGTAACCCACAAAAAGGGGAGGAGCCAATTGCTATATAAGTTGGCTCAAAGCGCCATTTCATCGGAATCTTTCGACTGAAGCTTTATAGCACTGCAACTTATGCAATGCTCATTCCCTTATCTCAGGGAACTGAGGTTACGTTAGTAACCAGATCGTTTCCTATTGAATGGTCTCTCCCTTTGTCACTTAATGCTATAGGGAACGCATCCAATAGCGCCGTGCTATAAGCAAGTGCAGGATGAAACCTGCTCTGCGACCTTAGCCCCAGAGCACCCATACTGAGGGCTCCTATAAGCATAAGCAGGGACATCAAAGTTATAGAAGTTGGTAAAGGTAGACAGCAACAACCAGCCGGCGGCCGCACAAATCTCACCAATAGAAATCCTGCTGGACCACACTCAGGAGGAAGCCATTCCTCTGGTGGAGTGGGCCTGCACAGCTATAGGGCACTGCAAGCCTACTGAGGCGTAAGCCAAGGCAATACCATTCACTATCTAGCAAGATCAGTGAGGTCTCTGCTTCATAGTATACAAAGAGCTGCTCTGAGTATCTGAACAGACCAGCGTGCTCAACATACATTCTAAGGGCCCGAACAGGGCAAGGTGGATTGGGACCCTGCTCACCATCTGCAGCAGGGACCACTAGAAGGGTGATAACTTCAGCTCTAAACAAAGTGGCAGAGGCGGACTGTAACTAAGTACATTTAGTTGAGTACGGTACTTAAGCAAACTTTTTGAGTATCTGTACTTTACTTAAGCATGATTTTTTTCTGGAAACGTATAACTTTAACTTCACTACATTTGAAAGAAATGTAGTGGAGTGAAAAGTAGGACATTTTTCTATCAAGGTCCTCAAAGTAGAAAGTCGTTACTATGTAGCAGCTTTGAAAGTCGGTGAGTGATTTTTTTTTCTTCTTTAAAATGTGAACTTTTTTTAGACAGCCTATCAGTAATCACTCTTACGTGAAGTGATTTCCCAGCTGTTTTTGAACACTAATATCACATTTGCACTTTACAACAATTCAATAATAAGAAGTTAATATTGTGGTATATATTCAACACATATTTGTTTGAGTTTGCAAAATTGTGCAAATTGAAATATTACTTATAAATATTAATACTACCTATATCTGTCTTTACAACTTTAACTCGTAATGGAGTAATATTTGACCAGCAGTATCTGTACTTTCACCCAAGTAATGGAGTTGTGTACTTTGTCCGCGATCCACGCTTGGCCATGTTGACTGGATGCTGAAGAGTGGGCATGTTCTGGCGAGGAGCCTGAAACTCACACAAAGTCATTAAGGACATGGAGTCATCAATGGCGATCTCCTCCTCAGAAGCACTGAAGGAAACTAAGCCATTCGCTTGAACCTCCTGTGTGAAGCACACTGACAAAATGAGGCAATGAGGAGAGAGTGAAGTATGCGGGAGCTGAACTAGCATGATATCACTCAAGCCCGGTGTCAGAGCCCCGCTGCTTCTTTCTCTTAGGAGACAAAGGAAATGGGAGAGCAGAGCGGTCAGTGAATTTGTCATCATATGATTCAGAAGGGCAGAACCAGGCGATCTCCACCACTCCATCCATCAACTCTCTGGTTCTGCTGCTGCCTGGGCAGTTCCTGTGGAAGAACGTGTTGTGTTTCTCATTGATCAGACTGCTCATCAGCTGAGACTTGGATAAAGACACAGAGCCAAACCTGAAGAAAAACACCATTGGAGTTTCTGCCTTGTAGATCGGCTGGGTTTGACTGATGATTTCATGGTTGTTTCTCATCTTCCAGCTCTTGTTAATTTGTCTGAATGTCCAGAGAGGAAACTCAATCTGTTGTGTGAATGGATCAGGAACAAGCAGAGGCAGAGCGTACTGACACTGGGACAGTTTAGTCACCATCAGCTGCTTCAAGAAACCATCAGCACAATGAAACACTGCCATCTGAACATCCATTGGGTGAACAGGGTCAGACTGATTTGATGCTTTGTCTGACGGAGAGAGGTTTCCGAAAACATCATCAAAAATATCACACTCTTCTTCAGAGAAGTCGTTGTCTGTTTGTTGTGTATGATCCTGTTTGTTGGTCTCTTTAGTTTTAATGTATCGTGCTCTGTAGTTCATCATCAGTAGTTTTTGTATGAAAGTCTGAATCAGCTCCTCCTCAGAATAAAACTCATGGGACTGTAATGAATGTTCAGTTATCTGAAGAACATCTGCAGCTCCGAGTTTATTGAGGTGTTTGCCTTCAACATGGAGTTTGTGGAATATATTATTCATTTTAAGTCTTTATCCTTTTGTTGGTGTTAATCTGAACTGATTCCTGCTGTTCCAATGTCCTTTATTTTCCCTGATGAAAAATAAAGATTGTTTTCAGCTGTTACAGTCTACATAAATGAGATATGTAGTTAATTTTTTCCAGATGTCCCTAGTTACAATAGAGATGCATAATAAACACTGTCACAAAGTTGCCATTCTTACCCTGTTTTGTTAACTCAAAACTGAAAAAAAAGGAATAGTTCCTCTAAGTTTTTACAGTGCATTATATGATTTTTTAGGGAGCCAAAGTTCAATACACTGGGCAATAATACAGCTCTAGAAATGGCCAACTCCTAGACTTACAGATTCACACCAAAGTTGATAACTATAAAAATAACTATAAGGAAAGCGTAACCTCGGTTCCCTGCGAGCAAACGAGCGTTGCGTCACTTGACACTATGGTGAAACTCCTGTTTACTCTGTTACTGAAGCCTGATTTGTTCACTTTTGTGTAGTTGCACAAACCAATGGCGCTGTAACCCACAAAAAGGGGAGGAGCCAATTGCTATATAAGTTGGCTCAAAGCGCCATTTCATCGGAATCTTTCGACTGAAGCTTTATAGCACTGCAACTTATGCAATGCTCATTCCCTTATCTCAGGGAACTGAGGTTACGTTAGTAACCAGATCGTTTCCTATTGAATGGTCTCTCCCTTTGTCACTTAATGCTATAGGGAACGCATCCAATAGCGCCGTGCTATAAGCAAGTGCAGGATGAAACCTGCTCTGCGACCTTAGCCCCAGAGCACCCATACTGAGGGCTCCTATAAGCATAAGCAGGGACATCAAAGTTATAGAAGTTGGTAAAGGTAGACAGCAACAACCAGCCGGCGGCCGCACAAATCTCACCAATAGAAATCCTGCTGGACCACACTCAGGAGGAAGCCATTCCTCTGGTGGAGTGGGCCTGCACAGCTATAGGGCACTGCAAGCCTACTGAGGCGTAAGCCAAGGCAATACCATTCACTATCTAGCAAGATCAGTGAGGTCTCTGCTTCATAGTATACAAAGAGCTGCTCTGAGTATCTGAACAGACCAGCGTGCTCAACATACATTCTAAGGGCCCGAACAGGGCAAGGTGGATTGGGACCCTGCTCACCATCTGCAGCAGGGACCACTAGAAGGGTGATAACTTCAGCTCTAAACAAAGTGGCAGAGGCGGACTGTAACTAAGTACATTTAGTTGAGTACGGTACTTAAGCAAACTTTTTGAGTATCTGTACTTTACTTAAGCATGATTTTTTTCTGGAAACGTATAACTTTAACTTCACTACATTTGAAAGAAATGTAGTGGAGTGAAAAGTAGGACATTTTTCTATCAAGGTCCTCAAAGTAGAAAGTCGTTACTATGTAGCAGCTTTGAAAGTCGGTGAGTGATTTTTTTTTCTTCTTTAAAATGTGAACTTTTTTTAGACAGCCTATCAGTAATCACTCTTACGTGAAGTGATTTCCCAGCTGTTTTTGAACACTAATATCACATTTGCACTTTACAACAATTCAATAATAAGAAGTTAATATTGTGGTATATATTCAACACATATTTGTTTGAGTTTGCAAAATTGTGCAAATTGAAATATTACTTATAAATATTAATACTACCTATATCTGTCTTTACAACTTTAACTCGTAATGGAGTAATATTTGACCAGCAGTATCTGTACTTTCACCCAAGTAATGGAGTTGTGTACTTTGTCCGCGATCCACGCTTGGCCATGTTGACTGGATGCTGAAGAGTGGGCATGTTCTGGCGAGGAGCCTGAAACTCACACAAAGTCATTAAGGACATGGAGTCATCAATGGCGATCTCCTCCTCAGAAGCACTGAAGGAAACTAAGCCATTCGCTTGAACCTCCTGTGTGAAGCACACTGACAAAATGAGGCAATGAGGAGAGAGTGAAGTATGCGGGAGCTGAACTAGCATGATATCACTCAAGCCCGGTGTCAGAGCCCCGCTGCTTCTTTCTCTTAGGAGACAAAGGAAATGGGAGAGCAGAGCGGGGAGGACCGTCTTCATTAAAGAAGGCAATCCGCGAGCAGAGAAGGGTGAGACTCATACTCTTGCAGTGAGAGTGTGACATCTCAGTGAGCACAGCCTCTGCATGGGTGCTGCCCAGACAGGCAACACACTCACTCTGCCCGCCTGCATCATGCAGGGAGCCACACTTGCGGCGTGACATTTACAACAATGTCACAGGAAATTTGCTCAGAAATTGCTCTTTTCTAAGGCATGGCCACAGGGGCTCCTTCTACAGTGACGAGCAGCTGAGCTTCTTCCTTCTTCTTCTTTTCCGGTTTATTGATAGCAGAGTCAGCTAAGAGATGATCTTGTCTCTGAAGGAGAAAGATCCTGATGAAATGGCGCTCTGAGCTGATTTATATAGTGATCAGCTCCTCCCTTTTTGGTGGGTTAGAGAGCCATTGGTTTGTGCAGCTACACAAACGTGAACAAATCATGCTTCAGTAACAGAGTAAACAGGAGTTTCCCATAGCGTCTAGCGACGCAAAGGGAGAGACCGTTCAAGAGGGAACTAAATTAGCATCCACACCAATACACGATAAAGTTCTGTTTATTGTAAGTGTGTGCTGTGCAGTTAAATCTGCTGGCTTAAATACTTCAGGGTCATTCCACGAAGGGGGGCCATCATGCAATGTCAATACGGTTACCATTTAAAAAATATAATCTAATATAATCAAGTTCCCTTTTGAGCCTTTGTTCCCTCCATGGTTTATTCTTTTCAGTTTTTGTCTCATGTTTCTATCAGAATATGATCAACCTTTTATTACCAACCTTGATGGAAAATCTGATAATTGTATGTTCATACAGGGACATACTGTTCTTAAGAGCAGTATATGGCAATAGACCATTTCTATAAAACAAGTAAGCAAGTAAATCAAGCTGAATTCTCATTTTCAAAATGAAAGGAACATTTTTTTGGTTCCCTTTGAAGGGAACTTCGAACTGCGTCCTCTAGGGGTCGCTATGGGGAATGCCTCGTCGTGACCCGTGTCTGAAGCATACATTGAAAAAGCACCAGCAACACGTTGGCCGGCGACAGCCATGACGTCACTACCGGTACGACTATAGTATAAATAGGCGCTGGGAGAACACATCATCCTCTTCTTCGTCTTAACTGACTTTTTTGTTTGAAGCATGCATTTCTGTGGTAAGAGCAATCTCTATTCATATCATTATTGCGAGCACTAGCAAAGCGTTTAGAGGATGTGTGCATCCGTGTCGTCGTTATTTAACATCTGATGACACACACGATCTATGCGTTGTTTGTTTGGGCGAAGAGCACGCACGCGATGTCCTCGAGGGGGCAATCTGCGTGCACTGCGAGCGTTTTCTAATGAAAAAGCTCCGCTCTCGTTTGTCTCCCTTTTCGAGGAAAGAGGAGCAGCTATCTGCTTCCCGCAATTCAGGACCTGCCACTGCTGAGGCACGGAGGAGAATGAGCTTGTGGGGATCGCAGGTGGATCTCGCCGATGAGTTTAAAGAGGGGTTTTCCCTCTCGTGATCGTCGGCTGTGGACGAGAGTGAGCCGCTGGAGGATGATGTTATTTCATTAACATCGTCTGATCCAGGGGCCAGTGCTCTGCTGGTTTCAGCCCAGGAAGAGCAGGAAATGTCTGAGGCTTAGCCTTCCCAATCCTCCTGCCCTGCGTATGATGAGCTTTTTGAAAGTTATGGATCGCGCGGGCAGAGAAAGTGACGTCGCGAGGTCATCTCGATGAATGTTATCTTTCTGGCCATAACCCTCCAGCTCAGGTGAGCCTTCCTTTCTTCCTGATATCCATACAGAGATCGAGAAGGAATGGAAGAGGCCGTTTTCCTCATGCATCCATCGATTCTAGCATACGAGTTATGCCAACATCGAGGCGATGCGCGAAAACGGCTATGAGAAGATGCCCCTATAGAGAGACGCTGGCCAGCTATCTCTCTATGGGTGAGACATCTTCTCTTAAGACTCCCTCCTTGCCATCTAAGCCTCTTCAGGATACATCTCGCTTGAATGGCAGGGCATACGCAGCAGCAGCAGGTCGGGCTGTCGCTTCATTGCACACGATGGTGGTGCTCCAGGCATATAAGGGCTCCTGGCCCATCTCAGTTTAAGGATCAGAGACGGGCACAGAAGGCTAGTGTTGCGGCTCGCGCTCCTCCCCCGCCTGCGGGTAGGGGTAGGAAGAATCGCGGGTCAAAGGGAGGTAGGCAAGACCTAAGAGATGTGATCCAGACAAGGCGTCAGCGCTTTTGTCCGGATCAGAGTGATACTTCAGTATCTACTCATTTCCTTCGGGGGTTTTACATCTGCCCTTATCTTCCCCTTCCTAATTCCCCTGTAACCACCATCTCTCCACCTGACCGAGGTTAGGTGGGAACTTTCTGCATTACAGTCTCCTATGCTGGACCTATAATGTTTTGGTTGGTTCTATGGCTTCATAGTGACCACCTTCCTGATGGTACGGACCAGAGGCTTCTTCGGTCGCTTCCTGAATGGGGCTCCGGCGTGGGAACCATGGTGGGTGAGTACAATCCATTTCTAAATATATATATATATATATATATATATATACAGTGGGGAAAAAAAGTATTTAGACAGCCACCAATTGTGCAAGTTCTCCCACTTAAAAAGATGAGAGAGGCCTGTAATTTTCATCATAGGTATACCTCAACTATGAGAGACAAAATGAGAAAAAAAATCCAGAAAATCACATTGTAGGATTTTTAAAGAATTTATTTGCAAATTATGGTGGAAAATAAGTATTTGGTCAATAACAAAATTTCATCTCAATACTTTGTTATATACCCTTTGTTGGCAATGACAGAGGTCAAAAGTTTTCTGTAAGTCTTCACAAGGTTGTCACACACTGTTGCTGGTATTTTGGCCCATTCCTCCATGCAGATCTACTCTAGAGCAGTAATGTTTTGGGGCTATATATATACACACACATTGAGTTCTC